ACCCTTGTTATTTTAGTGTCGTCGTCTCTAGTGTTCTTCTCTGCTGGTTCCTTGGTCCTTGTCTGCTAGTTTAGAACCCTTAGATTGCATCAGCAGAGTCTCTGGTAGGTGCTGTATCACAAGGTTACATATTGCTAGGAGTGCAAGTGCCTGGTGTGCCAGTCTGACTGTGTAAAGTCCCATTTTGGTAGCTGCTGAAGAGATGGGTCCGCAAGCCTGGTGTGGTGTCTAGTATGTGGGCGGTGAGAGCTGGGCCCTCTCCTCGTTGCTACCTGCTCCATGCAATGAGTCTGCTGCGGCCACTGCTGCAGGGAGCTTGTGGCCAGAGCCCTTCATCTGCTCAATGCTTTCTCTGAAGTGCAGGCGTAGCTGCTTCCCAGGAAACAGTGGGTGTGCCAAGTTCTGCAACAGCCCATCATGCTTCCAGCAACACAGGAGGTTGGATTCAGTTTTACTCCCAGACAGTAAACGTTAGGCGTGCGGAAATGATTCCGAGCAATCATGATTTAAGGTAGATTTTTATCTCTTGATCCTGGATCCACTTCTCATAGGGTCTTGGCTCAGCATCATCTCTACACAGGCTGTGCTCCATCACTATTCTGATTATTAGTTTATTCAACCTTCTCCCAGCCACGAAGCATGACATCTTATTTGCCAAATGAAAGAGTATCTGCGTAAGTAGATATTATTTTTCTATGAAATATTGATGACTTAAATCATGCATAAATACATGAGTATCCTTTTAATTATCATCCTGAGCTTGCCAGCTTACTTTCTGATTCTAAAATACCAGGCAGTTTCTAATCAAACTTTCGTTTGTTAGAACATCCATGGACTTTAGACAGAATAAAAATAAGAAACAAACAAGATTTTAGGAAGACTATTAGTATCTCAACAGAGCATAATGCATCATTACTCTTTTTAAATAGTAAGTGTACTTGAATTGCTTATCATAATGGGGACCTCTTAGAATGAGAGATAGATGTGGCTCTAAGTGTGTGTTCTTCTCCCTCTACCTTCCCTAAGCTTCTGAAATTTGTTGGGGTAAGATTTTTAAAAGCAGAAAGGGGCAGATTCAACTTTTTCGAAAAATCTGAAGATGCCTCCAGGAAGTCTGACATCAAATCAAAAACCTATATCATATGGAGCAACTGGTATGAGTCTGAATCCACTGTTTTGAAATTTGATCAGTTCTGCTTGTGGCAGGTTCAAAAGCAAAATAGAACTGGTCGCTGTGGAGTGCAGTGGACGCTGGAAATTGAACAAGAACTGAGAAAGCTCTTAAAGGCCATCGGACAGACACTTCCAGCTCAAGAAGTTCGAGTAACTAACTGTAGTAGCTTGAGATAATTTAAGGAAATATTGCTATGCATGTCCCTTATTTTTTTTGTGCTCTTACTCTCAGTATCTGCCATGAGAAACTGAATATTTGCTTAGGTGGACTTTTGGACTGACATGAAATGGCTGCTCAAGTGTCTCTCCTTTTTGAGGAACAGCACCTTAACAATGTTGGAGACACTGCTACAAATCCTCTTTCTAAGGATACCTACGTAGTGTTTTTATGGATAATCATCCAGAAAACTATGTATTTCTGGTGGTGCATATAAAAAGTTTGTGATTAAATACATTTTTTTTTTGCTAGTACTTTTCATCCTATACTGTGTAGGGATGCATGTTCCCTTCCTCTTGAGGAAAAAGTGAGATTTTTTTTCCAGTTTCATCTTGTAATATGTCTTGTGTTCTGCCTTATTTGTTTGCATTTTCTCTGGATGCTGGCCAGGGTGATGCCTGGGATGTAGTCTGAGTGTGTTCTTGGGTTGCTCTCTGTGTCTTTTAAAGAATCTATCTCAGTATCTTCTACAGAAACTTGTTTTGACTTTTTGTCTTGTACAACATCTATATCATTCTCTGATCCAAGTAACAGATGCTTGCTTTGCCTGAGGAAGATGCACATGTCCAAGAAGTACGTTCCATAAGACTTTGCCTAGAGCATGCTGTACTGCCAATTTCCTATCTAGGAGTATCGCTGCCTGATGAAACTTGTAGATTAGTTTTGTGCTTTGGTACCAAGTGGAGAAAAACTTGTAATGACCCAGAAGAGAATCATCTTAACTTCAGACTTCTGAAGACCTACTTCAAACCTTGGACTGTGCTTGTTTCAACCCTTGTTATTTTAGTGTCGTCGTCTCTAGTGTTCTTCTCTGCTGGTTCCTTGGTCCTTGTCTGCTAGTTTAGAACCCTTAGATTGCATCAGCAGAGTCTCTGGTAGGTGCTGTATCACAAGGTTACATATTGCTAGGAGTGCAAGTGCCTGGTGTGCCAGTCTGACTGTGTAAAGTCCCATTTTGGTAGCTGCTGAAGAGATGGGTCCACAAGCCTGGTGTGGTGTCTAGTATGTGGGCGGTGAGAGCTGGGCCCTCTCCTCGTTGCTACCTGCTCCATGCAATGAGTCTGCTGCGGCCACTGCTGCAGGGAGCTTGTGGCCAGAGCCCTTCATCTGCTCAATGCTTTCTCTGAAGTGCAGGCGTAGCTGCTTCCCAGGAAACAGTGGGTGTGCCAAGTTCTGCAACAGCCCATCATGCTTCCAGCAACACAGGAGGTTGGATTCAGTTTTACTCCCAGACAGTAAATGTTAGGCGTACGGAAATGATTCCAAGCAATCATGATTTAAGGTAGATTAGAGTGTTTGTGAAGGAAACTGCAGAAGACCATGTCATCTCTTATTAGACCACCAATCTCCTGTTGCACTAGGTTGTTCTCTTGCTGAGTTACTGGGAATCTTGACCAAGGTCTGAACAAGCCCTGAAAAGGAGCTGGTAAAGTGGAAATTGAGGTTACATCTGCTCATAGGTACTGATTTGCCCTGAGAATTTTAGAAAAGGAGCATGCAGGGTATGTCCTGTGCAAGGGTATGTCAGACCTTGGAAATGAAGGAGACTTGCTGAACTTTTTTCCAAGTTTGAGACCCAATAGGTAGGTTATGACTCCTGCAGAATCATTGGTAACATGGTGGTGCAATATTCAGCCCCCTGCTAATGAGGTGCAGTTGAAATACGAGTTTCAGTTACAGATCGTCAGATTTGCTTGTCGAGGGTACATCAACCAGCACGCTGGACACTGGCGATATCAGTCATTCCAAATCTTCCAGTTTTTGACTGCAAAGGTCGGTCTGCTGTCCTTCCTTCGCTGCCTGTGGCCCCACCGGAGTGCCGCAGGGTCTTCGAGCTGAAAGCTCTCCAAGAAGTTTCAGGTTTGCTGCCCTTGGATAGGACAGAGGGCAGTCACTGCTAATGCCCTGGTTTGAGGAGAGGCCTGCCTGCTTCCACGTGGTGGAATAGAGAAAAGGCAGAGCAAACCAGGACGTGCCCTTGGGTTTTCTAGGCTGTCTTGAGAGCAGCACAATCCTCCTCGGGACCCGAGGAGTTCCCTGTCCCCTTGTTCGCACAGGGCAGAGCACCCCTTGAGCCCTGGTGACTGCGAGCAGGGACTGAGGCGGAGGGCACTTGGTGCTTTGCTCGCCTCCTCGTTTAACTTGAGCCATTTTGAGATGTATCTTCTCGTCTCTCCCTGCTGCCGTGGCCCTCCCTCGTGCTGCAGGCTCTGGGGCCGGGCACGGGCTCCGCAGGGCTCTCTAATCCCTGGACACGGTCGGAGATGTGGAGGTCGCTGTAGCGCATGGTACGTGCTGGGCAAGAGAGCCTCGAGCTGCACGAAGCCTCTGTCTGCTGGCCCTAGAGCACGTAATTTCTTACTACTTATGTTTTGTATTTATGGTACCGCCTGGGCTCAGGCCGCAGAGGTGCTGCATGTTTTTATGGGTGTCTCATGTAGTTAGTGTAAGTGTAATGGCTTTTAACTGGCTTTCCGATGGGTTTTATGGTGTAAGTGGTGTGAGGACTTCAAAATACATGTAGAATTAGGTTTTCAGATTTTTTTTTTCATCTTTCTAATGATTTAGAAAATCTTAGATAAATTCATAGCAATTCTAATGAGTATTGTGTTTAAAGGGGCCAGTTAAAACTGAGGAATCTGCAGGAGATGAGGAATCCTTTTTAAAAAAATTGGATTTTGCAAAGCATCTGAATATCAGTGGAGGCAGCTGCAGATACTGTAAAATATGAGCAAATGGCATGTGTGCAGAAATGTTCCATTTTGTGCTTTTGCCCTCCCGGCTCACTTGCACACATTTGATATAATGTTGCCTTAAATTCACTCTCCTGTAAGAATTCAGATGTGTGTGTTAAATATTAGAAGAGCTGTGTTCAAAAATAGAATCTCTCTACTCCCTTCACCACCACTTTCCCCCCCGCTCGCCCCAGAAAAAAAAAGAAAAATCCACGTTGGACTCGATTCTCTTCTGACGCGATCACAAGACCGCTGCTGCAGTAGTGGCTTAATGCTATTTACGTCGTCGTTTGACATAGCAACATCTCCCAGGGGATTTTTTAAACAATGCAGCTGCTCATGAGAGATGAGGCGGCCGAGGGTGGGGAGAGGGAAAGGAGGAGAGAAATCATTTCGTCTGCCATCGGGGCCGTTGCGGGGAGGGGGCAAGGCGGGCAGCGGAGCCGGCCTTGGGGAGATTCATGATTCTGCATGAATGGAGGAGGGAGTCAGGGGAGTCGCTACTTTTCCTTGAATGGGAAAGAGCATCACGGGAATCTGGCTGCTTCTAATCTTTTTGTGAATGATTCTTTTCCTTTAAATTGACACTGCTTTTATGAATGGCCGTGGGGGTAAAAGGCTGTAAAATGATTCTCGAGGTGTGTACGGCTTCCGTAGCACCAAGGTAGCAGTTAGGTGTGGGAAAACACCCAAATACCTCGGTGCTAAGGGACTGTCACGTTCTTTTGAAGTCTGAGACGACATTGTATGTATTTTAATTAAATGCAATGAGTCTAGTTTAATGGATGCAGAATTATTTCTCATATGAGGTATTCTTAATACTTTTTCACTTTAAAACATATTCATCCACATGTGTTTTTCCTGGCCTGCCAAAAATGGCGATGCCAGTGTATTTCAGGGATTTTGGAACTATTAGGTTAGCAGCTCTGCTGTTCCTGCTCACACGTATGTTTCCTTTGGTCTTTATGCTCAAGATATTAAATATTCAAAATATACATAAGTGCTTTGGTCTGCAGCAGCTCGTTTGTTGTTTTCCTTAAGCTGGGAAAGTTCTTGTGGAGCTGTACTTGAACACTGTGTACACGTGTGTAACTTGTTTTCTTGCCATCTTTGTGGTCCCTTATGAACCAAATAGGCTGAATCATTTGAGAATTTAGAATGTGCTCAACAGAAGTAGCTTATTGTTGCAGACTGTGTGGTTTCATATAAAAATTTAAGGATTAATGTTGAAAAAATGAAAACGTTACTGCATAATGTTGCCCACTTGCTGCTGCTTTTTAAAACCCTATCAACAGACGTATCTTTAACATTTGAATATGCAACTATTTCAAATTTTCTTTTTTTCCCCAGAGGAGAAGTACAAAGTGGAAACAAGAGTTATTGTGGCGGACTTTGGAGAGAGAGAAGATATTTACAGTAGAATCAAAGCGGGATTGGAAGGCCTGGAGATTGGCGTTTTAGGTTTGTATCCGATCTCTCCATCTTTCGTAACGAGGTTTTTGTCTTGATGTGCCAACTAACCTTTTCCCCTAGCAAAGTTTATTGGAAGCCATTCCTGAAAGCTAGTAGGTGGCCTCACTAAACCAAGTCACTGTTTACTGGGTACGTTTGATAATGCTGCACAAGATGGTGCTTGCACGAGCTCTGGTTCTCAGGGCTGTGTTGTATGTTCAGTGCATTTGACGTGTTCTGGTGGTGTTGAGGGCTTCTTTTTGCTCAGGGCTGCACCCGGCCTAATGTCCTGATCAAATCTAAGCAAGCTCCAGATACTTCATTGCAGCTTAGCTCTCCCTGTGGGAGAGCTGCTAACTATTAATTATACAACTGTTGAAATTTAATCACTAGAATGTAGAATCAAGTCTTCAAAAGTTTTCAGTTTAAATGTGCTTCAAAAGATTTTAGTTTAAATGCATTCTGTTTGTATTGGTAAGCTGTTCTGCTGCTGCTAGTAACACAGCAGGGCTGAGTAGGGAGCTCTGAAGGTTAGAGCTTTTTTTATGATAGTCCTTGAAAAGGGAAGGCCATCTGTCTAGTTACTGTATAGTGTGTAGGACCTAAGTGATATTGAAGAATTTGTTTAGCACAAGGTACTCTACACATGGCAGAAAGGTATCTTAATCTAAGCAGTGGAGTAAAGATAGTTTCTTATCAGTTTGCAGGTTCTTTCCTTAGAAGGATGTACTCTTATGCAGATTCTTTGTTTCTGCAGTTTCTTAATGTAGGGATGAGAACGTGTGATGATGAACAAAAGACTTGAGATTTTTAAAGACTTGTAGTTCAGATGTATATGTCATTTAGTCAAGTCCTTGTTTCAGACCACTAATTGGGGCTGGAACTGTTTAAAAAAGCATATTTGGCAGGGAAAAATTAAGTATTATGAATGATTAGTGTAGTAAGTCCCTACCAGTGTATCAGCTGTGCTGCTATTACGTGGATATTGTTAAACTGTGCCTGAAAATAATGCCCAGGAAGAGAATATGTATAAAAACTCATTTTAAAAATAACCTGATTGGAGGATAAAGCCCAGAATGTTCCCTAATACTTTTTTTTTGAGATGCTGCAGTACATGCAACTCATGATGTCCAGTATTTAATTGCTAAAAAAGTTCAAATCTTCCTAGAAGATGAATATCTACAAATGCATATCCATAATGGGTCCTGAGTAAAGAAAACTTATAGCAAAACTGTGAATGCCTTATATTTTTTTTAATCTGAAGAAAATAAATTGCAAAAAAAGTAATTGCTTTGAAGGTTAGAACTAATGTTTAATCTGTCCTGTCAAAATCAACTCAAATATAAGGTACCTGTCACATAGTAGTTGCTACAGAATAGTAGTAAATCATCTTAAATTTCTCAAAATGTTGGCAAGCTTTTTACTGTGAAATGCATATCAAAACTGAAAGCTGTTTTTATTAAACTATCATAAGCTATAATGAACATACAGAGTCATGCAATTCTGACTTCTTATAGTCTTGAACAGAGAGGGTACTAGAGCAGTGAATGAATGGGTTTGGAAATTTGTCCAAGCTTAGAAAAACAAGCATGTTCCTCAAGCAGAACCTCGTTCTGCCTTTTATTTATTGGAATAGCTTGACTAAAAACATAGTAACTAAAAGTAAAAAATAGTAACTAAATGTTCTGGAGCTGTGCATTGTCTAGTGGAGTTCCTTTACTTTTTCTTGTAGCCATTGCCAGTGCATGTTTACAGAGTTCTCTTCTAATTAGTGGGAATATTCATTGGCAGTTTTAGCAGACCTTGTGCCTGAGATCATCAAGGTCCCGAGTCAGTGCTTTTCTCCCTAGCTGTAGCTGTGTTATTGAAAGCACTTGTCCATTTCATTTCTTGACACAGATTATGGCTACTCTAGAAAGACAGTATCTTAATTTTTAATGACAATTAATTTCATGCTTTAGTGCCTTATATTTTAAGTTCGTTGCATTCGTTGCAACCCAGAATATAGCTTTTGCTAATCTGCATTTTGCACATTCACATGAGAAAATATGGGTTGAAATGAAAACATCACCACATTGGATAAGTACTTGGGTTACTGTGCGTTTTATTGCTTGGTTCTCACCTAGAATGATAGAGTTTTTGGTAGCATAATTGCTTATCTTCAGTGATCTTATATTTAGACATGGGAGTCTTCACATGCACTGCACGAGATTGAACTTCTCATGAGTTGGATTCTGTGCAGCTATATAAATTACTTGCAGATTGAAGTTCTTGTAAACTTCTTATTTGGAAGCTTCTTCTCACCCACGTAGGAAGGCTAAAAGAGTTTGCATAATGTTTTGCTGTGTGTTCAAAACAGCGTCTGTCAGTGACTTCAAACATGTGCTAGCTACAGCAATATGTTAAAGAGGCAGAGGTGGGAAATCTTTCCCCTGCTGTTCTTAAATCACAGAAACTCATAAGAAATTTAAAATCTTGTGCTATCCAGGTAAAACATACCTGTAGAGACTGAAAACTATACATATGTATATTTGTTTTCAGCTCAAAACAGCAGCAAAATGTGATCTGGTAGAAAGATTGCTGGAGCTGCAAGGGTATGTATCTGGCATCCAGTTTCTAGAAAGAAGTGTGAGTTTTATGTTAGAATCTCTGTAGCATGAGTCATGAAATATGCTGAATTTGGAGGAATCGCCCAGGATTGTCCCCAGACTGCCACAGCTCGTAGCCAAAATTCTTTCTACAGAGACAGACTGAAAAACACTTTCATTCAGGGTGAAAAATAGGAGAAATTCTTTTGGCTTACTCTTCAAATGGCAAATTGAACTTTCTCCTTTGAACTTTTATCTCTTTCCAAATATATTAAATTTCTGGTTTGAGTTTGCCAAGACCCTGTTCTCATCAATTCCTGATATTTTTAAAGACTATTTAAAAGTTAAACTTAAAACATGTTACTAGGGGCTCCTGTAAATAGACAAAGAGATCATGACTAAAGAAGCTGTCACTTGAGACAATTTCTGAATGAAGCTTGTGAACTTCTGCCTCTTCTGTACATTTCCTGCACATGGTGAATGTCTTCAGATGCTTAGATATCTTTCAGGTTAGATGTCAAAATGGTAGCTTTTGGCAGAGGTGTAGAGGCTATTTAAAAAATAAAAAGTAAAAAGAATGCACCAATGTTCTTGACCTTGCTGCTTACCCCCTTCTCCACGTGTACCTCTCCCCTGGAGCTGAACAGCGGTGTTCAGTGTGCATCTAAGTAGCACTTTAGGATTTTCTGGGGCATAATAAGACACTATATAAATGTAAAATGTTGCTACAGCAACCAAATGTCACAAGACTCACTTGCATAAGATGAACAACAGATACTTAGGAAACAGAGATCCCATTTGCTCGTGTGAGTGCGCGTGTGTGTGTGTGTTGTTCTTTTTGTTTTGTTTTGTTTTTTTTTGTCTCCAAATCAGTATGTTTTATTAAGTTTGAAGAAACTGAGGCTACAGAGCTATGTTGTTTCCTAATGACATTAGAAGTTTTCCACTACTTGTGTTGAGATTAGAGAATGAAATTCTCATCTGAGAGCGAAGCCTTGTTGCACTGAAAAAAAAAGTAGGTTTGAGCAATTAATGAGTTCTCCGGGTTGATTTTTCAATGCTGCCAATAGGAAAAGCTTGCCCAGACCCAAAGAGCGTGTGTGGGGGTGAGCAGGGCGGCCCTTGGCTATGGTGAATCTCAGTGTGATGAGTCTTGGAACGCACAGCGAGGCAAAGCAGAAACCATTTTGCACGCTCGCTCCGGGGGCTCCGCTGCGGGCCCCGGGGCAGCGTGTGGAGCCGGGCCTGTCCGTCCGCAGGCCTTGGCGTGCGCGGGGAGCGGGAGAAACGTCCCGGAGAAGTATTGAGGCCGCTTACTGCTGCTTTTGTTGTCCTAGTTTTTCCTTTTTTCATTTTTGAAAGGACATTTAAACAGTTTCACGTAATATGTTGCGAGGTACTGAAAGGTGTTTTTGGCTCAACTGTGTTTGTGACTGCATCTTATACATTCACACTGTGTGCACTGGCATTTCTAAAAAAGGAATCATTCTTCTGCTATGCTGTAAAAAGCAGTGGAAGATGGGATAAGTATGCCAGGAGTTAAACAGTTGCTATTAATATTTACGTGTTTGAAAGGGCTTGCCTATTCTTTCTCACTTTCTAGTTGTGGATACAAGTGTATTTGCAGATAAGGAAACTTGTTGCATTGAGCTGGAATGTTTTGACTGCAACATTTTAAATCTGTTGCTTGAAAATTCTTATAAATCAGAGCATCACAAGTCAGATATCATCCAACCAACTTGTTTCTTCTATTACAGTCAACAACGTGGGAATTTCGTATGCTTATCCTGAATATTTTATTGATGTTCCAGACCTGGATAATGTAAGTTTGTTTGTTTGTTTGTTTGTTTTTTTTACCTTGAGGGGTTCTCATTGCTAGCACTAAACAATCAATGTACATTGCTAAAGTATGACCAAAGATTTGTTGAAGGTACATGCTTAAACGGGCTTTTTGATTTAGAATTAAGGGCTCAGAAAGCAAAGAGGATCTAGGTAACATAGCAAAATTCACATGATGGCAGCTTAGGATATGTGTGTCATGTTGTAATTTATAAATTGAAGTACGGAGGGGTATATCTATTTTAGACAGATGCTCTGGTGTCGATATCTGACCCATCTTCTCTGTGATCTCATCTGGATGATGTTGTTCTTGCGCTCCCTTTAGCTAGTGAGGTATTTTTGCAAGAGAAGTAAGCAGCTACATGCATGGAAGCTGCGTATGCTAGAATGCTGTAATCAGTTTCAGCATACTGTAGCTGCTTTAAGTATGTCTTAATTTAGGGATGGTCTTGGTTTCACTGGGGATTTTGGAAACCCTGGGTTTGAATGCTTCCACTTGTTTCTGCTTTTGGTATCCAAAGACACGCACAGCTGACTGTTGGTCTGTTCTGCTTTTGTGCTTCAGCCAAAGCATTAGTAGATATAACTGTGCTTTTGGTTTACCTCCAAATAGGCTACATAGTACTTATCAGAAAAACAGTTTTTATCTAATGAGCAAGCTAAGTATAAGTATTCTAAAATGCTGAAGAGCAAATACAGTCATAGAATATGTTCTTAAATTTGGGGATGTTATGGTGAACGTGTTTAAAATATCTATATATCACTGTTCTGAAATAGTACAGATACTGCAGGGGAACACATTGTTTATGTGATAAATCTGCATTGTTTTTTATTAATAAGACTGCTTTGCCAAAAACAAACCTTGACCAAGAACAATTCAGAGTTTACTTTCTTTAAGTTTGTCACTGCTCCTGATATCACATCAGGAGGAGGAGGGAGCACATGTGGATGATATAAGTGAAATATTTAATTTTTCCTGGCACATGCAACAACAACAGAAAAAAAAATCAAAAATTCCAAATTTTTTTTCTCTTGCAGACAATTGACAAAATGATTAACATTAACATCATGTCCGTTTGTAAGGTAAGTACTCTGTTACCAACACTTGTCCTTGAAGCTTTACTAATTCAAAACCAATGAATATTTCAAACTGAATTGTTTGAATAAATAGCATTCACCTATGGAAACAATTTTGGTTTTCATCTTAAGAGTAACCTAAAGGTTATGATTCTCTTTTTGTGAGTCTGTTCCAATCATTGCATAAAATAAAACTTATTATAAAGGTACTTACTATTTACAAATGAGCACAAAACACTTAATGCTCTTTCATGCTCCTTGTTTTAGTTGTTTATGTACATTTTTCAAGTCTCGGTGTGACTTGCGTCTAAAACAGGTCACTGTTTCCTTATTCAAATGAAGGCCATGATTAAAAAAAAAAAATAGTAGTTTATTTTGAGCTATAACATTGGCGGGGGGATAGCATCTCCTTATGTGGTATAGGACATCAATTAGTGTGTTACACAAGTATGCTGGATAAACTCTTCTGACTTTTCACTGCTAGAGCTTACTGTTCTCCTGTGTGTGAGAAAAAGCTCGCATCTTCAATAGCTTAGGGTTCACTTCTTGCCTCAAAGCCAAAAATATTAGATATTTTGGAGCCAACTTGAAAGATTTGACTTGCTTGCAGCTGTTCACATTAGATAGAGTGTTAAATTCATCTAGTGCATGCCGTTCGGGAGGCCAACTATGGTCATTTAGTTTGTGTGTGATGCGGCACAGGGCTTTTGAAACCATATCTTCTGCAAGATTTTTCACACCTAGTTAAAGCACGAGCAAAATGGTGAAAAAGGCAGCGGCTGTGTGACCCAGTGGGCCAGCTGACGTCAGTTCGCTGCTGCCACCTTTTCACAGAGGCTTCACCGGTTCGTGCCCAGGTTGGAAACGCTTCGGCTGCGGTTGTGCCGCTCGGTTTCCGAGGCCTGTGCGGTCGGGCCGCGAGCGCCGTGCGGGCCGGCAGAGGGAGCGCAGCGCTCAGCAACGCGGCCGGCCCGGCCTCCCAGGCTGGCGTCAAAGCGGGGAAGGCGCCGTCCAACTGCCTCGGGTGCGTTTCTGGTAGGCTGCGGTAAGGCTAGAGGGTTGCTCTACTAGGTACGTCTCTAAAAAAGATGCAGCCAGGTTGTGGTGTTTTCTCCAGGATGAGCTAGTGCTGTTTTGTGGCTCCCGTGTTCCTGCCTGGCAGCAGTGGTGTTCAGCAGAAAGTTAACGTCATTTTCTGCTAAAACTTGCAATGTATCAGCCTCCTCATGTTATAGCGTGCTTGTCTTCCCCCAGGGAAAAATGTACCGAATATGCAGCTGCTACAAGGTCCGTGTGTGTTGGTAGGGGATGTGTGGTTTTTGTGTGTGACTTTTTTTTTTTTTTTCCCCCTCATTTGAAAACTTTTTTTCTTGATCGTGAACAGCATCTGATTGTGGGTATAATCAGAGTTTGAGCATAAGCTTTCAGGCTTGAAAATGTTCCTCCTGCATGAGGCTGTTGTGTAATTAAACAGTAGGCATGCCAGCTGCTTACTGTTTTGGGGAGAGGAGCACATTAGAAATATGCACCATCTGTAAGTCTCTATCTTTTTTTTTTTTTTTTGAGAGAGAGAGAGAACACATGGAGATATAGTAGGGGGAAAACCAAATAAAAACCACTTTAGGACAAATCCATGCAACTTTTCTCCCTTTTTTTTTGGGAGGGGGGAATGTAAGAACATGTGCTTGGTGGGCCCAGGGTGATGCAATCCCGTGCTGTCTCCGCAGCCGGCTCGGCTGGTGCCGGCCACCTCGTGCAGCTCTTCTGGCGCTCGTGTCCAACGCATCAGCCTCAGTTCCAGCTACAACGCTCCTTAGGTTTGAAGTGGGGAAGTCGAGTTATTCAGCACAGTTTGGTTCTGTTACCAGCTACATGAGCATTTGTTAAGGGTAACGCTCCTCCCCTAGCTGTTGACCAGTCCGGTGAGTGTGTTTGGAAGCTGGCTCAAGTGTGCGTCATTTAAAAGGGTCTCTAGAGAGAGGTAAGTCCTAATCCTCAGTGGCTCAGATAAATTGTCCATCTGGCTTGTTGTGCTGTTTAACCCTTGGATAATCTAATGCAAAGCAACTTTCCCTGATTTTGAGGACTTGTTTAAAAACTCTGGCAGGAAACATGTTTTCCTCAAGTCTTGTTCTCTGCCCCCTTCTCCATGGTATCAGCAGAAGGATGATTAGATAGTCCCAGGACCCCCTGCTGTTGCACTTTTGGGGATGGATGTTCTTATTGCTATGATTTGCCTTCAAAGCCCCGCTTAAACTACTGAAGACAAGCTACCCAAAATAAGTGTTACTTTGGCGGGGGGAGAGAATCGAACAAAAAAAAAAACCCAAACAACTTGTAACAGGAAAAAAAAGAAAAATTTTAAGCTCTCCTAGAGGCATAGTATCATAGAATCGTTAAGGTTGGAATCTTATGTTTATGGTGATGCACGGTACAGGAGTTATTTTGTTCTTCATGTACTATACAAAACAAGAGTCCTGTTGCCATAAAGAGAAAGAAGAATTTTTGTGGTATTTTCTCAGGAAAAATGGAAACTTTATACAGCCTTACACAAGGACCGAGCTGGTAAGCATATGTGGAAGAAGATGAATAGTAGGCGGAGTTTCACAGCTCCTGCCGTAATTTTGCCTTGAGTTTCTGGGCAGGGATTAAAAGAAAAATCTTCAATGATTGCTGATGGCAGTTCAGGTGATGGCAGTTTGTATTTTAATTTTTGATGTCTCTTTCTATTGGGATCCAAACGAAACAATTCCGACTGGGAATAAGATAAGTTGGAAATCCTTCACTAGCCAGCACCTGCTGGGAAGCCAACGTTGTGGCTGCTGGTTATTGTTTTCTCCATAGTTTTACTGTATCTGCCTCTCTGTGCACGCTACAGCTCCGGATTCACCTGGACAAACAGCTAAACTTCCTTTGACTGGACACAAAAGATGCTGGACTTGCTGTCCCAAGGAAAACATGGATAGGTAACGAGCACAGAGAAAGCCTTGCTCGCTTTGGGGAGCGCTTCCGTTGCCTGTGGAAGTTGAAAGGTTGCTTAATACATGAGAAATAGCAGGTACGTCACTGCTGCTTGCAGCCTCGCAGTATGCCAACTGCACTGGGAGTGAGGCAGCAACTTGTGTTCTCTTGAAAAATGAGCAGGACTAAATAGTTGAGGGAGTGCTGGCTTAGTGGTTGATTAAGCAGGGAGCGGAATTGGTTTGGAAGCAGTTATGTTGTAGGGGGGGGTAAATTGCCAGGCGCACGGGCCAAGGTTTGGTTGGAAAATGGCCTTAATAGAGAAAGAGGGAGGCGTACGTTACATATACATACGTGCTTTGGTGTCTGTGCTCGTCTTCACTGTGATCACCTTACTGATGTCTTACGCTGAGAGGCAGGTACAAAGGGATAATAGGCCTATAAGATCAAGGATTTTATCATTACTGTGTGAGAAGCAAGTTATAAGCTTAAGCCTAAGACTTCAAAATACTTAAATATTCTGTGTTGAACTGAGAAGCCATCTAGTGTTAGCTGCCCTCTTAATGGGCAAAGAAGGGAAGATGGATTATAGCCATGGTGTGAATGCTAGACAAGACAAGGGAATGCCTGAAGACAGTGTCTAAAAAACCTAGAACACTGAGTTTAAAAAAAAAAAAAAAATTAAGTGACAACGGGGAGAAGAAGCTGGTATGTTTGAGAAGGAAGGGACAGGAGAGGACAGTTTCCCTTTGCACAGATCTGAGTGTAGGAGAAAGGCTGAGGAGCAATAATGCTGAAAGACAGTCAGGAAATTACATCTCGTGCATGTTCACATCACTAGTGTAACCTAATACCCCATCTGCAAGGGCACCTTCTCAGAAATCAGTTGATAGTTGTGCTCCGGTGGAACCATATGTGAGTGGCTGTAATTGCCGTGTCATGGAAAGGGTCATAAATGGAACATAATTCTAAGAAGTGGTAACACTGACTTGTGAGAAGACATCAGTATGTGTATTTATATAAGTATTTTTTCCCAGTCAAGAGCTTTCTCTTCATTTCTGTTCAAAGTTATAATCATCAGCAGGGGAGGAACAATTTAGTAGAGTATATAATAAAATCAATAATTTTGTAATAGAGAATGTGTGGCTGCCAGTACTTGCAAGAAGAGCAAGCGTTCTGTGAAGGTGGTCACGAACGTCCCTCCCGTGGTCCGGAGGGAGAGATGGGAGGCTGCGATGTCCTGCCTTGCCGACTCGATGCCCGAGAGCGCTGTGTGCAGGAGGATGGGATAAGGGAGACGTTGCTGGGATGGGTGGGTGGATGGATGGATGGATGGATACTTCCCAGCAGTGCTGCAGGAAGCACTCAGGATTTTAATTCAAGCTCTGGCTGTCTTGGTGAAGCGTAGGAAAGTCCGAAATTCTGTAGGTTTTTGTAGATCTAGAGTTGAGGCACGTACACACCCAAGTCTTGAAAAGACCAAGTGCACTCTTACTTGAGCAGCCTTTCCTACACAAAGGAGGGAAGAATGCTCATTTTAGAAGCTTTTCCTTTTTAGTTGGACTCTGAAAATGAGACTTAAATGGGGAAAGCACTATTCCAAGGCAAGTATTTGCTCAAAGGCAACTAACTGAAGGTGCTCAAGGCTTACAGCATGTTATGCTGCTGATTCCAGTAGTACGTCTTGTGCCTTTCTCGTTACTGACTTTGCCACATAGTGGGTTTTTTTTTTTTTTTACATCAGTTTCTGTTGAGTTACTGTTAGTTTAACTTGTAAATTTTTACAAATGTACTGTTCTTGTTCAGCTTGTGTTATGAGATGTGTTAACAAATTTTATCAAGAGATGCGCTGTAAAGCCTTAATTGTAGAGGTTTAATTAAATCGATCAGGAAAGTTACTCTAGCAGTGCATGAGTCCAAGTCTACCTTCGTAAGAAGGAAGGTCTGTGCTCAGGAGTGGCTTAGGCAGGGTTGCTTCATCACTTGTTACTGGCCGGTGCTCTCAGGAACTTGAGAGCCCCCTGCTTAGGCAGCAGGAGTTGCCTTCTGGTAGCAACCCTGGTTTTGTATGTCTGGGTGTGCCCGTGGAATTCGTTTACCTTTAAGAAGTTATATTGCTTTTAGCTATTGTAGCTTCATTCCTGACTTGAATGACCTGAGTAAAATCTGAAACACTTTAGCTGAGCAACAAAGTAAAAATCTTGTCCAGCCTCTCTAGCTTCATCCTTTGCAGCTGTGCAGGCTAAATTCCAGAGTGCTCTAGCTTGAAAGTGTAAAGTGACCTGTAGTCATAACATCTCACTGTAGAATACTTCACTATGAATGAGAGTTGTAGTATTGTGGTTTTGTCTTTACATATGGTAAAGATAAAGATGTGAAAGATAACTTGGAATTTTTACATCACTTTTTTTCCTACTGATTATAGTAATATGGGTGACCATCACTTTTGAGATATTCTAAACTTTAAAACTGAGTGTTCTTTACCTAAGATGAGTCCTGGTTTGTTGCTTAAATCAGAGTGAGAAAGGGCTATGACTTAAATCATGGTGACAAAGATCTTGGTGATCTTTGTGATTACTAAGAGTGGAAGAAGTGATTTTTTTCAGAATAAAAAACACTGGAAATAGTTTGCTCTAACTTCCTCAAAACCATATGTTGATCCTTTACTAGGAGCTTTGAACATATCACCTGTTTTAAAACATAAATATAGGTGTGTGGATATGTACTTTCCTGTCTGAAGCAGGAGCTTAGAGTGAAAGTGGTAGTCCTTTTGCTTCCAGATTCAAAGGTTGAAGATGGGTCTAGAACAGAAAAATGCGCAGTACAACCTGGCATGCTGTACCAGTGTTTGCAAGCATGTAATAAGTGCTGTGGCAGGTAAGTGCTCATCAAGGAGTGACAGCTGCCTTGAAAAGAATGAAATGCTCTTTAATGAATCTCCATCTGAAGTTAGTCATTTGTTTTGAAGAGTTGATTTAAAAATAACGTAACCCTTGTCCTTTTTGTCTGCCAAAACAAAGGAGCTATAGTCCAAAGTCCTTGGTAGCATTGCTTAGTGTTTGACAAGCATATATGTGAAATTCAGTTTAAAGAACCGGGGGGTGGGGAGGCAGGGGAAGCAAGCCCACCATCACTTTCATGGTTGTATGCAAGTATAACTCTTTACCAGACTACTGCTAACTTGAAGAATTGGTAATTTCCGGCATCAGGAATACTCTGCCAAATAAATTCATCACTCTAGCTCAAACTTCCAGAAAAACTAGACGTTTCCTTTGAGCTTGCAATTCATCGGTAGCATCTGGTTACTCTAGCTAACATTATTTCAGTTTAAGAGGTCAGAGCCTTCATAGTTTTGGGAACACTCGTGGCTTCAACTTCAAAAGTGTTTCTGCGGAAACCAGCGGTTTATGCAGAAAAAATGATTGAAAGGACAAAACCTGAGTTGAATAATCACTGCCTGAAGGCCCTTTTGTTCGAGTTCTGCCATTCCCAGCCTCTCCTTTGGGCTGCCTTTCATGTTAGTCATTGGCCTTCAGACAAAAGAGGCCGTTGGGAGGTCTCACGTGTCCTACGTGCTAATCCCCCTGGACTCGGCCTTGTGATGCTTTTGCTTTTAGTAAGTCCACCCCACTACGGGACTGGATGTCTTAAGCTAGACCTAGCTAAAATGTACATGTAGTCCTAGTTCATCTAGGAAACACTGAGTGTGTTTTTTTTTTTTTTTTTAATTCAAGATCTGGTTGATGTTGTCTATTATATAATGGCACAAAGTGTTTATATGGTGCATAAATTTCCCCAATGATCTGAATATGCCTGAAGAATGCTTTGTTAGCTCTATGGCAACAGTTATCACCTGGTGAAAGTCTTGGTATTCACCTGGCCAGCTGAGAAGGCACTGACACTAAGAAGCCATCTCGTGTTACCTTATTCTCTCACAAATTTGTATCTCTATAATAAAGATACTAAATATTGGAATATCTCTTCACTGTCACAAGATGTAAAAATACAGATAGGAAAAACAGTTTTGCTATTTCATGAACTTTTGAAGTTCTCTAAGTACACATTTTAGTGCAAAACATATGCAGATGGTGTTCAGTATTACCATTTTTTCAGCATTCTTGTTATCTACCTATATTTTGTACTTAATATTATTCCCAATGGCTTCACAATGTCTTAATATCATAGAATCATAGAATGCTTAAGGTTCGAAGGGACCTCTAGAGGTCATCTAGTCCAACCCCCCTGCACACGCAGGGTCACCTAGAGCACGTGGCACAGGACTGCGTCCAAGCGAGTTTGGAAGATCTCCAGAGAAGGAGACTCCACAACCTCTCTGGGCAGCCTGTTCCAGTGCTCTGTCACCCTCACTGTTAAGAAATTTTTCCTTAAGTTCCTGTGGAACTTATATAAAATATAAAGGATAATATAAAGTTCCACAGGAAATATAAATCATAATTAATCATTAATTATATTATTGTGGGTTTTTTTCCATACTCTCCTTTGAGTACTGATAGTAACTAACAGTTATATAAATCAGAGCTAAGTTAGTGCTGCCAAGCGTTGGTTTGTGATTTGGATTCAGACCATCAGTGCATTTGTGTGAACTTAGGACAAGGCTTCAAACGTGTTCCCCTCCCCGTTTCAATGGGAGATCATGCACTGCTTTTTTTCAGGCTGTTTCTTGGTTGCTTAGGTGAGGGTAATTGCAGCCCATGTCCACATGTCACTCTGTGGAGACAACATGCAGCGTTACCCCAGCCACAGGATGCTGCTTATTGCCAAGGCGCCTGTGGTAAAGATCATGCAGCTTGCACTAGATGGAAGATCTGCCAGTCTTGATAACCAGTCTTGATAGGCCAAATCACCCTTTATCCTTCAATATTAAGAGAAATAATAGTGGTTTTCACATCTGTGTGACATTAATATGTGGAAAAGGCTCTTGTGTATTTGGACTTAATGTCGTAGGATCTTTTGAGGCTGCATCGGATCTTTTTAACTTGATGTTTACCCGCTCTGGAACTTGGCCTAACTTCGTGTGGCAGTGCTGGGAGTTGAACATGTCCCAGCGGCTTCATGGCAGTAAGGGCTAGCCAGCTCCTGGACGTAGTCATGTCCCTTGCGGGAGCTGAGCAGCACTTCTCGTGCTGCTGAAGTCTGTCCCAGTGAGAAATATTAGTTAAATGTAGAGAACGGTATTCCGTGTTTTACTTTCTCTGGGTGAGCTGTGATCAACTGAAATGTTTCTGCTGATTTTTTTCCTTTATTCCTAAAATGGTATATTTTATATTAAAACCATATTCACCCTTATGCAAAAGGTAGTGCAATTATGATACTAATGTGTGTAGTTTGCTGTAGTAGTAAGTCAGATTTATTTCCTTTAATAAACAAATGTCTGTAGCTTTTTATGCTCCTGCAACTTGTGTATGCTGTTTTTTTTACCACATGGCTCTCAAGTCACCTGTAAAGCCATCGAGGCAGGGTCAGCAAGAGGCACGAACTGCATTTTGGTGCGGTTTGTTTTCTGTTACCCCCTCCTCATTTTGTCAGGAAGCTTCAAAGACGTTTTAAGGATATGAGAAGTGATAAAACTTATTTTTCAGCTGTGTCAGTGATATGGTGTGTGTTAATAGGGCAGGCTGGAGGCAGCATAGTAGTTGGTCCAAGCTGATCTTTTAGAACAACGTTATTCCTACAGGCCGAACATTTGGGTGGAAATCAATTCTTTTTTAGTACTAATTACTGTCATTCTTGGGTATCTATTTTATGGTGTAATTAAAAATATGTCAAAGTCTGGATCAATGCTTGATTTACTTTTCTTGTCAGAGCCACTCCTGAAGAAAGCTGTCTGCAACCGGGAAATCTCCTTTTAGCCGTATGCTCTGGAGCTTTTCAGCTTGTTTGGCTTGTGCCAAGTCCCAACGCAGGCAGCAGTTGAGCCCGAGCACAGGGGAGGCTGGCCTGGCTGCTCCCCTCGAGGGGATGCAACCTGTGTTATCAGGGAGCAGTGTTTTTGAGCAGTAGGTGTTTACTTTCTGTAACAGGACGATCGTCCGAAGTTGCTGCAAACCTCCCGCTTCAGGCCTGCCTGTTGCAACAGTGACAGGCAAACGCTTTTTAGTGTGTGTGTGTTGCAGTAGTGCTCCCCTCTAACATGAAGGCTGTGCATGGTCAGAAATGAACTTCTTTTGATTAGTTTCTTTTGAGTAGTTTCTAATAAGTCACTACTTTTATTAGGTTAATGCTAGTAAGCTTTAATAATGGTTTCTCTAAGGTAACACATCTGCACAGTAAGGTGTATTGGCTGAGTTATCAAAACTAGAATACTTGTCTTTACTTGTTCCTCTGGTCCAGCTTCACAATTTATTTTTTGTAACCTAAAACCAACAATTCAAAAAGGAGCTGTAATGTATTGGATTTTGTCCTGAGTCTTGGCATAAGTGAGAAATTTAAGTCAGACTTTGGGAATACAGATGCCCTTCTTGGGGGAGAAATGTTTGTACACGTACTATTAAAACACTCTGGTGCTTTGTGTTCGCTTAAAGCCGTGGATGCTGGCTGCAGAGTGGTGGAGACGCTTTTATTTACTCTCATTATGTTACTAGCTGGATTGGTTCGCCAGATTCAGCGCATACATCACTTGAGCCAAGTTATCCAGGTAGAATAAAAATAAACTGCCTACGCAAAGTATGGTCGCTGCTTCCCCGAGCCTTGGCTGGGGTGGCGGGGGTGGCAGCTGCTCCTGGGAGGAAGGAGGGCTTCCCTTGCTCTGGAGCTGTCTAGTGTCTGCCTTCTCAGCCATCACGAATGTTTTCTGTTTGCAGATGACACGATTGGTGCTGCCCGGCATGCTGGAAAGGTGAGTCACACTAACACTATCCAGACAAAGTCATCATTATTTATAGGGGAGAATCCTTTCTTGAAAAATTCATTACTGTGACTAATCAGCCCAGGCTCCATGTTTTAATGGCAGAGTAATGCTGGGTGAGTCACGCTGATGGCGCATGAATCATCAGACGGTGGAAGCCTTTTCCACTCGATTCCCTTTTTATTTTTCCTCTCCCTTCTCCACTGTTGTGGTGATTCCTTTTAGAACAGAATTAAAAAGCCCGTCTGACTCATCAGCACTAACTCAACAACCTGCTATTCTGAGGGGGTGGTTACAGTTCCTGGGAATAACCTTCTTAAGGCTATTTCTCTAAGTCATTGTAAATAAAATGGATGCAAAGAATATGTTCTCATTATACAGTAGGAGGTATATTGAGGAAAGTCTGTGATCATTTGGTAGAGAAGAATCAGAGACCAGCTCTTTAAAACAAGAGTGAATGCACACCACTCTCCCTGCTAAAGGCATGTACTGACTTCCTAGCCAGATCCCAGGTGAAACTCAAGTTACAGGGTTTCGGTGTAGCCCCTCCAGGCTGTTTGCTAGCTCATGTTGACTGCTCCATGGTGTTAGCTGTCCCTGTTGAGTGCTCACCCTGGCTTGCCGAGGGTTGTTCTGGGCCGCATCTGATGTTTGCTTGCAGAACGGAGGCAAGTTGCAAGGAACCACGCGTGAGAACCACTGCGCTCTTACCTCCTGGTGGACACCCGAGGAGGAGAGCGGGTGTGCAGCAAGCATCCCAATCTGGCAAATATTTATTAAATATATATAGAGAGTATATATTTATTGCATCACCTGCTATCTGGGAATCTTCATCATAGATGAGGGTTCGCTTAGGCTAACCTTGTACAGATGCAGAGCAGATATTTCACATCAGAAATGACACTTTCTTCATAGCTGAAAACCATCAGGGCTAGTTCCTAGTGCAGGAGTTAATACTTCCCTGAGTGAGATCTTAAACTCAAACTTAACAGCTTTTTATTTCAGGCTCTGTAGATAGCAATGGAACTATAGAAGAGCTTATGTCATGGGAAGAAATTTGAATTATAAAAATAAGATGCAGGACAGAGTTCACGTGTGTGTTAATATTACCCCAGAAAACTCTGGCAGAGGCTGAGCATCCTGATACAAAGATGGTAGTTATTCAGGGTTTCCAAATCAAAAATTACTTCTTGTCTGTGTCCTGTAGTTGACAGACAAGGACCCATTTTTCATGAAACCACTGTCCGGAGATGATGTGATGGTGAAAGTCATGGTACTTTAAAGGTTTAATGTTATATGTCTTTGAAATCTTGAAACTGAAATGATTTATTACATGCGTCTATTCTTTGTCTAAAGAAACATCATCTTGAAAAAAAATGTTTCTAAAATATCTTTGTCTAAAGAATTGCAGTTATCTGTTTGACCAAGTTGGTCTCTTCATCCTCTCAGGACAGGAATAGTGTATTTTGCTTACCAGAAAAACATAGAGAGGCTGTTCTTTAAGCATTAAGCTGGATGAGAGGATCTGAATGAAAGGCAGTAAACCAGACTTACATTGATGTCTAGTTCCAACTACCCCTGAGCAAGTCGCTTCATGCCTTTTTTTCCCTTTTTAATTTGCTTTTCTTGACTGCGTACTCACCCAAGTCCAGTGAATCCGAAAACATGAATGAATGGTATCAGTACAGAGCAGCTCTTTGGGCCAACCATTAACTTCTCATCTGGGACTGGAGGCTGGGTAAAAGGGTCCCAGGCTGTTCTACAAACAAAGCCAGTCCAGGAATCCCATCATTATTTTTGGTTGCTCAAGGAGAAGAGCTTGTTGAGGACATAGACACAGCGTAGCGCAGTATCGTGTAGTGTCTTGCAGCTGTTCCATGTATGTTTATGGTTTGAATACTAGTTTTAAAGCAGGGCATTGCAAGATACATGCAAAAGTAGAGAGCAGACTTGGCATACTTTACATTCAGGTTTGTAAGCTGACAGTACTACCATGTGGCATGGTGCATCTGATGCTTCTTATTTACAATAAACATAAGAGTTTCTAGTAATGGCATTTAGGCTTTTTGCTGTGGCTCCTCTCATCACTTTGCAAGCATTCAGACCACAATTTATAATCTGTGCTTCCCATTGCACTTCAATGCGTTGCCTTTCCTCCGTAAGTTTTCAGGCTGCTGCTGAAGGTGGGAGCCTCGCAGAACTCAAATCTCCACCTCTGTCTTGTGGAGCCAGAAGACTCCATGGATCGTTTCTAGACAAATACCAAACGATGGCATTTCTTGCCGGGGAAGCAGCAAGTGCATAATTGCATTAGAGAGGAAGCTGCTCTTTCCACTTGGCATGCAGCTGGAGCAGGCCGGGTTGCCACGGCAACGGCGCGGGCTAAATATAGCGCCGCTCGCGCCGGTTAAGGTGGCCCGGGCGGGAGGCGCGAGCGGGGCCGGCCCGGGGCCGGGCGGAGCCGCGGCCCAAAACACCTCAATGGCAATGCCACTGGGAAGCAAAATTGGGATTGGAGTAGTGGGGGGTGTTCCTCCCCCACACATCTTGATTCTTCTTTTATCTGATCATTTAAGCTATTACCTTTTAAGGTTGGGGCTGTTTTGTTTTGAGAACCCCAGGTGCATTGACTACGTGGAGGAGAGAGTACATAGAGGTTTTGCAAGGGGCAGCTATCAATTTGTAACTCTTCCTAGGATGCGTCTCTTACTGGATCAGACTTAATTCTTTGCATCTAGATGATCATCACTGGCCTTGCTGGAAAGTTAGCCTGGGTCGCTGCTGTGAGGCTGGTTGTGCCCTACAGCCCGAGTGTCAGCCTGTCTTTGAAAGCTTCGGCTCCTGGTTGTGCTCCAAAGCATGAGGTTGGTGTTTATCCACGTAAACACTTACCTATTTTGGGTCTTGTTAAGCTTTTGTCCTCAATTAAGTCTTGTGGCAATTACTCCCCTTTGAGTATGGGAAGAGCACTTCCTTTCATTGGATCTGAATTTCAGAGTCTTTCCCTTACAAAAGAAAGATGACATTTATTTATTATGAGATGCGTAAATCAAGATCTCAATATTTTTCTTTCATTAGTCTGTATGTTCTTACCATGGCTCCTCTTAATAGTCTCTTAAATAGCTAAATTGGACCAGTCTTTTCACTCTTCGATGTCTGAGGGCTTTTTTTTTCTGTTTTTTCTCCCCTCTCAAATAATTTAGTCAGTTTCTACATATTTCTCTTGTACATTTGGAGGGATAGAAAGTGAAATATAAAATTTTGGTGATGGCACATCTGTCGCTGCCAATCCCTATCTTTCCAATCTTTGTCTGCCTTTGGCTTCTGCTTCACGAAATATTTTCTTGTTGACTTGTGTTTGGGGTCTTCAAGGGCACGGATAGAGGATTTGAAATCAGGTTTGTGATTAATCACATAATTTTCTTTGTATGTGTTGTTGGTTTTGTTACTATTGATTTTTCCCCTGCCATTCTATAGCCTGATCACACAGCAGTCTGAGGTCTTTAAAGAAGTTCCCTTATAGTATTCTCCAATCTGGATAATCTCCTAAAAACTGCTTTGAATACTCATTTCACTGCTAATCTCCATTTGAGCTCATGAATAAACATCATAAGCACCACCTGTCTTGATATGAAAAACTTCTGACATTGGTGTTTAACCTTTTGCTGTTGTGAAAACTCATACTTGGTTGTGGCCTTTTTTTTTTTTTATACCACATATTTTAATATATATTACTAGTTCACCAGCTGAGCCTTGCAAATAATTCCTGAAACATACCAGCGCCTTTTGCAAAGGTGCTTTGAAATCTTGCATAACTGTGCAGTGATTTCTTCTTCTCTCCTGTCAATGGTCTCAGTTCTGAACATGAATCAATCACAGGTTTGATTCTTGGATCCTGGCAGGAAGCCACCTGGGTGGCAGCTACTGTAATGATTCCCAAAGAATTTGTGTAGTAACTTCAATGGTCGCTTAAACCTTGCAGTTTCTTTTTAAAAATGGCCATTCAGATCATTGTGGGAGCATTGGCATAGGGTACATGCAGAGATGAACAAGTATTATGAGGAAACTTGTATGTGAACTTGCAGCAGTTCAGTTGTATGACAACTCTGTGTGCGTGTGTATTCTCACTCCACAGTGAACGTGGAATATTGAGTCTATGCTCAAAGGTAAACATTGAGTTTACTGGTGGGTAAGAAGTAGAGAGGCAGCTTTTAGTGTGTTAGGCTTTCTGCTAGCAACCCTTGGCAACTTGTTTGCCCTCGCTTGCCTATATTAGCTCTTACCGCTACCACACACCACGTCATGTGTCACTGTGTATATAGAGCAGGGCACAAACTGACATGCTCTGCACTGGTCCCTGCACTGAAGATATAGGAGCCTCTTTTCTGTCCTAACTGCAGATACTTCAGAAATATTTAGCAGAGCAGATAGGTGTCAACCAGCATCAGATTCTTGCCTTCACGTAAATATTGCTGTGTAATGCCAATGTATTATTGTAATACAGCTATAAAACAATTTCTGTAGTCATCCGATGAGTATCTTTTATCTATTAAAACCTTAGGCATTTGAGCACTAGATTCAGATACTTGCCAACTGAAGTTCCCATGAAGTGTATTTGGAAGTTACTTAGGCTCATCATGAAAGAGATTATCAAAATATAAACCATATAGCAAACTTGTACCTCTGCCACCATAGCCACGACTTAAAAGTTGCCTTTTGGATTTGTGTCAACTTACCTAGGCAAAGCTGCACGAGTGTAGCCCAGTATGTGTAGAGCACAGCTCTCTTGAGTGGAAATAGCTGTATAGATTTTTATGTTTTTTCTCCATTTAGAGAATTTTATACTGTGAGTATTTGTATCCTGCTTGAAAATTTACATTAGTAAGTTTCAATTTAGTATTTGCTTGGGTTTTTTCAAAATAGTTTTTCATAATCTCATTTGCATCCGGAAGATTTTTTTTTTTAAGGCTTGAAGCAATTTTATCAAATATGAGGCATTATTATATTGCATGGTAACATCTTCATTGCTTTTCAGATCAAAAGGAGTAATCCTGAATATCTCCTCAGCTGCTGGGATGTATCCAACTCCACTGCTGACTCTTTATTCTGCAACAAAGGTAAATGCTCTTTTGCTCATTGAAATTGTGTTAAGCATCAGCCACATTACAGGAATAAATGTTTTGGTGTCCATCTAGTGGTGCTTTCAGGAATTAGAAGTGCTTGGTCTCTTAAGTTATATTTTGCCAATAGTGGGAGTTTGAAGGTCAGGAGAAAAATGCGAAGCGTTTATAATGGTCTTCTGCATGCTTCATCACATATGCTACTTTTTATGTAAAAAGGGATAGCAATTTAAGCTTAGCATGAAGTAGAAGGCCACTGACAAAGTATTTTTAGCACAAAATATCAATATATTGATATTTTGGAGTCCCCCCCCCTTTTTTTTTAAAGATAGTTTTTCTTTAAGTAGGGCTCTTCTGTTGCTTTCTGAGAGCAAAGATTTGTCCTACTCATTTGCCTCAAGTTTTGTATTTCAGGTAAGAGAAAGTAGAGTTCAAGTGCCTCACTGATGCCAAATAGAGGCACACTTGCCTTCAGCTGTTGACTGTACCTCCTGTTAGTGTAGCCCATGGTGTGGTTTGCTTTTTTGCAATGGAGGTATTATTGGCTCATGTTCAACTTGGCACCCACCACAATTTCCAGGTTTATTGTAGCAGGGCTGCTGCCCTCCAACTTTGCGGTGTGGAGTTATGCAACCCTGTACACAGTTCTTTGCACTTCATTTTGTACCAATAGAGGAGCGTCATGAAGCTTAATAATCCTCAAGTTGATTGAGGTTCCTCCAAGCTGAAGCCCTGTCTTTGGGAGCTGCTCCATGCAGCTGAGTCATCTGCAATCTTGCTGGGGGTGCACACTGTCATCGGTGAGGCTGCTGGTGGAGATGCTGAGCAGTACCGGCATCAGCATTGGTCTTTGGGGTTCTCTGCCTATGGCAGCCAGACTTCAAACTGTTAATCCATGATCCTTTGAGCCTGCTTGTCCAGCTAATCTTCAGTCTGGCCAGTGGCTTATTCTTTCAGCACGTGTGTCCTCATCTTCCAAGTGGGTGTGCTGCAGAAGGCCATGTCAGAAACCGTACTGGTGATACCCCCTGTGCACCCCTAGAAAGCCACTCACCCCACTGTAGAAAGCAATCGGGTTGGTCAAGCATGATTTGCTATTGGTACGTCTGCAACAGCTTCTCATGTATCTTCTTGTCCTTTATATGCTTGCAAGTGAATTCCAAGATTATGTGCTTTATGATCTTACCAGGGACTGAGATCTAACAAGATCATTCTTGTCTTTTCAGAGGGATGTTATATTAGTCGTTTTCCAGGCAACCTCCTCGAGTTGTCACAGTTTTTTAGACATCATAGTAGACAATAGACTTTTCCATGCTAAATGCAAGAGAAATGTTTATAGTGATACTCAAGCAGTGTCACACTGCAACTCTTTCATTTGTACCTGGAAATTAACCTTAAGCACTTCAATGATTTCAGAGTCTAAGCAGAAGCCTGAGAGCACAAAGCATGATAGCATTTATGTTAGAACAGACCCACGATTCCTTTAGATGCACACTGCCATTTATTCGTAGTGAAGGAAGGGATATTTAAGTTCAGAAATCGTGAATGCCTGATTTGGAGTGTTTAACTTAACACTCCTCCAGGAATAGTTACTTCCTGAGAGCACAGTTCTTTGTTTTATTGTGAAAGGTCACCTGTGGCAGTGCTTTCAACTTTATAGGATGATTTGAGCTTCTGCTTTTAGTGATTGTGTGTTTTAGACTGCTTTGGTTAGACTTTTTTCAACGAGAACCTCAAATATATTCCTCCCCTCCTCTCTGAGAAACTCAATTACAGGGTAAGTAATCTGCCTAATCTCAGCGCTGCTCATCTTCTACCAAAGCAAGATTAGTAAGCATGAAAGTGACTCCCCTAATGTTGCAATAGAAAGACTGTATCTGCAATTTCTATTTTTCCCCCTATCTATATAAAAGGATTTTAAGCCATAATATCCTTCAGACCTAAGTCAATGTCTTTGGCTAATTGTCAGGAACAGACACAGTATAACTCTTTAACCTTCCTGTGGTGAGTTCCGTATTTTACAATGAAAAGATTTTTTTCTCGAGGAAACATATTCTTATTTTTCAACAGGCTTTCCTCTCTATCTATCTATGCTAATATTAGTGAGAAGTGAAAAATAATTCCTTCTGCCCATGTCTCAAACATTTATATTTGTTATTGGAAATCCAAGGAGAAGAAAGTGATTTTAGTATGCAGTGTTTATTGAGGGGAGTTATTTAGAGAATGTTTCTAAGACTGTTACAGTTAGATGATGTTGGAGGGCCTGTGCTTCTTATGGGCAAATAAGAATCCAATTTGTGTTGATCCAATGGGTTAACAAATCCATTGTGGGGGGGGGAAAAAAAACTTTATTAGAATAATGGATGTAGATGCTTGTTCTGGTTCATGTAAATGTAGCTTTCTGTATGGCAGAAATCTTTGCAAACAGTAGAGATGACAGTCTCTTTATATAGTCTTGCATATTTGAAAATGTAGTAGCTGATTTCAGGACTCCCAGGCAAGTAGAAATAGTCAGGACTTATTCTGAGTGATAAAGGAACTTTGATTTACAGAATATAGGTTTATTTTCATTTATTTTTGATATATAATTGATTTTAAATATACTGTGGTATGCACTTATCACAAATAACAGTTTGGCAGCTATGTACAGGTACTGCACCGAACAGTTTGCATATATATGCAGTTTCTGATATTGTTACAGGTGGATGGCCAGCTTGCTGAAGTTGTAGCAATTAGGCCTGATGTTAAGAGCTGGATTTCATTAAAAGCTTATACTAGAGGGGAGAAGGAAAGAGCAGTTGGACAGATGATGAGCTTGTCTGGCTCGGTGAACCTTCCTCTAGCTTGCACATGCAATTTGAAGATTAAAAGTACCTAGCTACACAGCAAGATCTCGTTTTTCTTCAGATCTTGTATACGCTCAGAAAACTATATAAAGAAATAGCCCAGCAGCATAGCAGTGTTTTTTTTTGCATTGTGTACACAGAAGATCTGTAGCTCAACTTTTTTTTACAGAAAACACAGTGAATGTGCGCACTAAAAGCATTGGTTTCAACGAGGGCTCCTGTTAATCCACAAGTGAGGATCAAAAAAGGAGGATTGTGGAGCAGGTGCAGGAGGCCTGGCTGCTTGCTTTGACGCAGGTCCGAAGCAGCTGCGCCTGTTCTTAATAGCCTTTCTCTCTGGAGCTGCTTTTCTTTTTTCTTTTTAACTACTCGAATTATTTGTTACTTATTTTAGCTTTTTTTTATAGATGCAATGGTTTAGGTCCTTCTGTGGAGAGTACTTAATTTGTTCTATTTGGCTGTATTGCTTCACGCAGACAAGGCATGATCATAGATCCTCGTGTTTTGTCCCATCAGGCGATTGAGATGGAGGAGGAGGAGAGGGTCTGTGTTGATCTTACTTCCTCAGCATGGCATAAGGCCTGTCTTGTCTTTTAGAGAACGTGACAATGGGGAAGAAAACGCATGGGTCTCCAATTATGGAGAAGGTTGTAGCACATGTGAGGGTGTCTTGAAGATGTATACAGGCATCTGCCATTTAAGTTAAGTTCCTTCCTTGAACTCTTGCTTTTGCAACTTCTCGAACTTCTCAAAATTTTGAAAAGAAACCACTTTAGTGGACTTCAGGACTAGGAAAAAGCTTAGGATTTCTACTCAGGTGGTATTTCTCTAATCTACAAAGTTTCTTTGAAAATCAATTTTTCTTTTTGAAGACAGGAACTATAAATGGAAATGTAAATATGCCTGCAAACCACTACAAGTTAGTTTCCATTTTAATGCATAACATGCTGTGTATTTCCCTTCTTCTCTCTGTAGGCTTTCGTGGATTACTTCTCCCGAGGCCTCCATGCAGAATACAAGAGCAAGGGCATCATTGTGCAGGTGAGTAGAATTTGTTTCATGTAAGTGTGGTTACCACAGCAACATTGGTGTCTTGGTAACAAAAGGAAATCATCATATTCTTATTCATGAATATGTCAGACACATTAAGGATAAGGATTTCCTTGGATTCTGCTAGCAGTTTTCTGAAGTTGCTCTAAAACAATGCATCTGAGTATACTTTTTTTTAATGCTGCTGGTGTTCATTATACCTTTAAGAAAGAAGTATTCCATATAATTTTTTCCTGTCTGTAATTCTGTGGAATGCATCTTTATAGAACTTAATTTTCTAGAATGACATGAGACCCCACCTGCACTGAAGACACTTGGGTGTCGCTTCTTAATTCAGTAAAGGTTTTTCCTAAAAACACAGTTAGCCAGTGTCCATGCTTATCGCTTTACCTCTCCCTATTCTGTATGGTGTTTTTTAAAACCCAAAGAACTCCAAGGGCCCAATTTGCTATTAGGCAACAAGTGGTTCTTCAGCCTCTTGTTAGGGTAGGATGTCTGAGATCCTTCTGTGTTCTGTTTTTTCTGGCAGCAGGCAGAGCTGCTGAGAGTTACCTCAGTCTGAGCATATCCAGATGCTTCAAGGAGAAAAGTATTCTATTTGAGATGTGTTGTTCCTACATGCATTCATAACCAGTTATTCTCTTTTTCCCTTAAGTCTTCCCCAAGGAGTATTCTGTCAGGTTGAGAGGAAAGCAAAGTAGGAACATGTCCTTCCTGTCTGTGCCAAAGGAGCACCTATTGGTAGTGCAAAAGTAAAAAATAGTCCAGTAAGTCATGCATAACTGATGGTGTTAAACCATCAGTTTAAACACTGATGGTGTTTAAACCAAACACTTCGAATGTAATATACAGTCTGAATGTCCATAGTACATTAAAGACTTCAGCTTTCCGAACCCAAAGCTAGAAAGGCAACAGTTCAGTGTCGTATTAAATGCTACAAACAGATGGAGATTAAATCTGACTTTCTGTATCTACAAGTATGTTTTCCTGTATAAATTATAGGTTTGTAACTACAACATAGGCTGTGATAAATTGACTTCTTGTAACTCTCAGGTGTTGGCTAAGGCTGCTCAGTTGCTGATCAGGCTGCTCTTTTTCCTCCCTAAATGTAGACAGCGAACAGCCATGCTGAGTTATGTGGTCTGGTGACCAATAGCTGTTATATGCTAATTTTATTGCAGTCCTTGTAGTCTTGTTCTAGCTTAAGCCACCATAAACCACTAATGAATATTGCAAGGACCTCTGTGTAAAGATAGCTGACATCTCCTTCATGTCCTTAGGACTGCATCCCCTTCCAAGTTCATCTCTCTGACCTTCAGAAAGAAGCACTTTTAAAATTCAGTTAAGATCACCGCTCAAAATGGTTAACTCTTACCATGCCCATACCTGCAGAATACCCCAGTGAAAAGCAACGATGCAGTACAGCCAACATTTTACCAATTTCTGAAGCCTAGCCTAAGCTACATCAATATTGCTGGAGTAGAATGCCTTCTTAGTGAAAGTTAAGTTTTGATTAGTGCTTTTGTAGAAATGTAGGCATCTTTAAATTCAAAATACACTCTAGCTAACAGGCCAGTAGAATTTTACAGAAACAGCACTCTAATAGCATAGGTTTAAATTCTGTGTTTATTTACATGTAGAGGAAGAGGTGTGAGTTTGTAGCAGAAGTTAAGCAAGAACAAAAAGGGTTGAGCAGGGAGGTTGGACTAAATGATCTTCAGGTGTCCCGCAGCCATCCTGTGATACTGTGATAAAGAATGAAGACGACTGCAAGGACTTCCCAAGACTTTGCCATTTTCTGCTACTCCCTTTTCTAACTTCTGTCAGTTATACCTTTTCCCTCTATGCTTTGTTTACTATATGTAGAACAAGTGGAAGAATGAAAATTTCCACTGCTTCTGTTCTTGTGCAATATTCATTATATAGAATGTCAGCTTTTTTTAGGCTAACCTTCTGCTCCAAGTGGCACTGCAGCTAATGCTAGGACGTGGGTTGGCCTCTTCTTACTTTACTTGGCACTGGTAGAAGAGTTTGGCTGTCATCTTCATAACTGCCCTTGAAATAGTTACAGGCAGATGTTAGGTCACCCCCAGCCTCCCTGTCACCACAGTAAACAAGCCAGATGCTCTCACTCCATATTCACACAAGTGTGCTGGCACCAGCTTGCAGCTAGTGGTGGTGTTTCTTTCTCCACGCTTAAAGCTTTGTGGGTCAGCCTGTACAGGTCAACATTGGTTGCTGCAATTTCTCCAACCTTATGCACCTTGCCCCTCACCCCTTCTCCGCACAGAGAAAGGGAAGGAAACTGCTCTGCAAAGATCCTTTTAAAAAATAGGATAACATCAGTGATAGGATAGCTTGTTTACACAATTTTTACTTTATGTTCCTTGAGTAGACTTACACAGGAAAAAAAAAAAATCCTGTGACCTGACTTCTTGCATCCATACAACAACCTTCAGCAATGCTGCTCAGTTTGAATAAGGGTCAGAGTTGTAAGCACCGGCAGGGCTTTTAAGGGAACAAGAGACATCATATTGGTATAAGTTACTTCAAGTTGAAAATAGGCTGGGCTGCTTATGTGGGTAAAGGCAAGAAATTGCCTATACAGTTCCTCGGCCCGAAAATAGGCTGGGCTGCTTATGTGGGTTGCCTATACAGTTCCTCGGCCTAGTAGTGTGAGTAATATCTGCCTCAATACAAAATGCTTTAAAAAAACTCAAGAGAGGGAAATAAAAAAATTCCTCCAATTTAGACATTTAGTCTTAAAATGCATTCTGGAGTCTGTAGTAGGTACCTATACTATTAGGGTAACATAAGCAGCTTTCTTATCTAAGTATTTGTGGCTTTTGATGACTTTGAAGGCGATGGTAATTGGACACATTTTTGAAATTTGGGAGTATGTGACTTTTCTCTTCCATTTGAAAGTGGACTCATTCAGTAATATTATTGGTCTTATAAGTCCTATATATAGAAAGAAGTGCACATTCTCAATAAAGGAATGAACTGACCTGACAATGCTTGTTGTTTTTTCTGCTTTTAGGCTTGCTTCCTAATGTCATGAATGCACATTCGTCTTCCTTTCCTTCTCCATTAGCATGAGCTGGGGACAGGTGCAATATGCTGTTTGTATCCCTCCTGTCTGCTTTCCCCAACACTAGCATCCATTTGTGCTACCAGCTTGCCTCTGTCAAAAGTATACCCACCCCTGCTTTCTCCTCTTGCTTTTCCATTATGCCAGGAGCAGGTAATTCCAAGACCCACCATCACTTTTTCTGTTTCTTCCCAAAACTGCTATAAAAGCCCATTAACTGCACTCCCTCTCTTGGCCCTTCCTTCTGTCCTTGAGGTCTTCCACACTACAACCCTCTTGCTTCCTCTGAGCCCTGCTGTAGTATCACAAGCTCAGTGTTCCAAGGCTTTTTGTTTGTTTGTGTTTTTGTTTTTTTCTCTTCCTTCCTTGTCTCCAAATAGCAGATACAAGAATTAAAGTTTGAAGTCTTTATCTCACTGAGTTCTGTACCTCCTTCCCAAGCCAACATGGGTGGTTTGCTAAAGGGAAGGAGCCTTACAGCCTGTTGTGCTGGACAGCTGGAGTCTTACACTTGCAGGGCTAGTGGTGAGAAAGGCTCCTCAGGCCTGCTCTTGCAAAAACAGCACCAGCTTGGTGTGCTGATCATCAGCAGACCATATAACTATCCTGCACTCCCCCCCCCCAAATATAGTCCCCATGATCCCTGATTAAAAACATTTTTGATATTACACATAATGTTTCAGAATCCAGTGCATCTATAGATTGTTGAGTTTTCAAAGATTTTAGGTTAAGCTGGAAGCATTCTTCCCTTAATGCTCTTCTCCTATATGCAGAGCGTTCTACCCTACTTTGTGGCAACAAAACTGTCCAAAATCCGCAAGCCGACCTTCGACAAGCCCAGTCCTGAGACGTACGTGCGAGCCGCCATCGGCACGGTGGGGCTGCAGACCCAGACCAACGGCTGCCTGCCGCACGCGCTCATGGTAGGTCACCTTGCACGAGGAAAGGGTGCAGCGGGTTCTCTGCAGGGACTCCCTGTGCAAGAAAAGTGTGAAGTCGTTTTGAATATTAAAATAGTTATTTTTGTTCTTTAACTTCTAATCACAATTTTATAATGTTTGTGCTGGTGATGGATTTGATCTGCCATAGTGCTGGCTGTTAGTTGCTGAGATTTTTTTTTTTCTTTCCCTTTCACTTCTTAGGGCTGGGTCTTCTCTCTTCTGCCTTTACCTGCTGCCATGAGTTTACTTATGAGAACAAACAAACAATTACGTGCTCGTTATTTGAAAAAAATGAAGGAAAAGTAAGTTGCAGACAGCTTGATCTTGGAAGTCTGGGACACCTGCAAGTTCCATACCCACATTTCAGCACCAAGTTGACATAATGTTTTAAATATTTTTGAATGTAGGTGTATTTGCTATTAAGGCAAAACATGAGATTCTTGATTTCCAATATGGTTTGAAAAATAGGCTTTATTTGTTTATAAATATGCTGGGGGGAGGTGCTTCAGACTAAAACTGCACTGTGCTTTAAAAAATACTTATGTGGGCTTGATCAGGCATTGCCTTTCGGAGAAGGAGCTTGGTTATGTAGCGTCCATGAAGTCCATGTGTTGTAGGCTTGGTGAAGGGAAGAGCAATAGTAGTTCTGTCTCTTACGTATTCATGGAAAGGTAGAAAGCAATGTGAAGAAAGTGTATGTATTTAAAAAGGCAACCTGGCACTATTCACAGAATATAACTCTTTTCCAGTTCAGATTTAGGGCATCTCCTATCACTCAGCATTGTCAGTGCTGCACCCTGGCTATGCAATTTGGTCAGTGAAAACAGCCTGCCTTGGGCGGTCACGAGATGGCAAGAAGAGCTCAAGGACAGCTTTTAGGCTGTGTGGAGGCCACTCTGTCCATAAAACAAAAATGCCCACATTTCAGGCTAGTGTGTTAATTAAGTTGCTTTAAATTGCTTTAACTTGGAAAGGATTCACCAACTTGTGAAGTGAATCTGATGTTTTTGCAAGTCCTTTCGGGGAGCTTTACCCACTGTACTGAAATGGGCTCTTGCACCAAAGTCTAACTGGGTCCAGTGTGACTTTTGGTTAGGAACTGAAGGCGAAAGGGCCAAGATACATGAATTTAATTCCTAATCTATAAATATATATACATAAAATAATATTACTAAAAGTATTTGCATTCTTGGTCCTTGAATGTGAATTCTAACTTTGCAGTAATATGTAATCTTTGATTTGTAATAACAGTTCAAAAATCTCAGTGCTTGCTCTTTATAGTAAATGGTGATGACCCAATGTAGATAAATGCTACAAAGTGTGTGCTATTGGTTGGTTGCTGTGCAAGTTTGTTGGTACTTTAAATGCAGAGCTTGAAATGACTAACTCTCCCTGTTAGCAAAGGTGGTTAAACTCTTTCTGAAGTATATATCAGTATGTCTTCTGGTGAGGCCTTTGGAAATGAAAATCCTGAATATATTTGGAACAGCTCTGGGGGTGGGGGGAGGAAATCTTAGTTAGAACCAATAAACTTCTAGAAATGTGGAAGAGCTTCTTATACTAGTCAACTTGGTCTGACTGCTGCAGGCTTCGGAATTCAGAAATTGGGAATTGTTCAGATGTGGCATGACATGAATATAACTGAGCTACTTAAAATAACTCATTTGTTTCGTAGCTTTCTTCCAACTGGAAGAACTGGAGTTCTCCAGAAAGGCTGAAATTATCCAACTCCAGGAAGTAGGGATCAGAGTATATGAGCAGTCTGCACTGCTGTTTGTGTTTATGTGCTTCTTTCAATAGGGATTTTGGCCCCTTAACATTCCTTTTTAGGAAGGCAAAATGTCCTGAAACTTTCAAACTGTTTTAAATTGCAAATAACTAACTGTTTTCTGTGGTGACTGTCACTCGTGTAAACACTGGAGGTGGTTTTCTATACTTGGAAGAAAAAATTCAAGCTCTGATTTTTAAAGTTAAATATGCTGTACTGGGACAAGATTTGAGGCTAACATTTCTGTACATTGAAAATACGTGAATACCGATGCAATGGTGCTGATCAAATCTGAGGTACAGATCCTATCCCTTGGTTTGCCTGATTTTGGAACAGGGATGGAGAAGTCTGTGTTATTAATTCTGTAAAAGCACATTCTTGGCTTACTGTGGAGGCGATATGGAAGCATTGGACTAACCAGTCTGTTCTTTGTCTTTGTAAAACAGAAATTAATAAAATTGGATTTGCTCTTACTACTTAATTTGTTGGTTTCCTCCTTGCCATGTGAGGGACTGGCCCGTTGGAAAGGGTTCTATTTTAAAATCCCCAATCCCAAAGTTCCATTGACCCGTTTTCCTGACCCTGGGAGTGCTAGACTTCTTCACCAGAACAGTACAATAAGAAATTGCTAAGAAATGCTCCTCACGACGAGCTTCGGCAGTGGTGGAGGTGCTCAGAAAGGTAAGTGTGCAGGAACTGTGCGGAGGGTGATGGAAGCAGCGAGGAGCTGCAAACCAGGACCGAAACCCGGCGCCGCTGCGCCCCGTGGTGCGCTGTCGCTGCGGACATCAGGGATCTTGTGTTTATATGAAATAACGGCCAGCGCGCCGGGCGCCGCGGCCGGAACCGTGGCGGCGGGACGCGGCGGCGG